ATGCGCTTATTATTTTTAAAGAGTATCAAGTAATCAGTGTGCTCGTTAGCCGACAAATCACATAATAAAGAAACGCTAACTTTTCAAACTCCTTTTCGTCAAATCGGACATACAATCACCAATGGATTTTTTGTGTGTGTTTTGTCGAATTAATCACCAATGGTATTTATTTGAACTAAGCTTGATATTCGTGATGAACTCAGACTTTTGTCGTTGAGGAAATAATATAATTTATATATTTTACATATTAGGATCTCCAACAGAGAATACACATAAAAAAATACAATTTTAAAAGTCGTGCTCCAATTATAAAGAGACCCCATCGTGCAAAAAATAATAACATTGTAATAAAAATATTTATTAAAATTGAAATTATTCACTATCAAATTTATGGCAATTGTTTTCCGAAAACATTATTATATTTGTCTATTGTTACGTATGAAATAGTGTTTATAGGAAACTAGCGACTCGCTCCGGTTTCGCACGGTTGCGATGCTGATACAAAATGTCTATACTATTTAATGAATATTATTATACACATAAACGTTCCTTTTCAACCATTCTATCTATTAAAAAATACCGCATCAATATCCGTTGTGCAGTTTTAAAGATATAAGCATACATAGGGAAATAAGGACGGAGAAAACGTCTTTGTTTTATACTACGTTGAAGAATAAACATGGCTGAAATGTAATGAGGGAATTTGGATCAATTCCCTCATTAATTCAATTACGAATTACAAAACTATCGTAATACAACCGCATTCTACGCGTAATTTGGTCGACAAAGTCAATAATGCGGAACCGTTGTTGTATTTATGAGTATGCTACTCGATATTGACACTTCATTTTTTCATATCTATCATCATCAGCATCAGCAATGCAAGCAAGTACCAATGTGACTTTTTCCGAGTTATATGTACTTTCTATGATTATTAAGCCACCACTGACATACTGTGAAGGTAAACATCGTGAAGAAACCTGGACTTATAATTTCTAATTTTAAGTTTGCAATCGCCAACCCGCATTGAGCAAGCGTGGTGATTAATGCTCTAATCTTCTCCGTATGAAAAGAGGCCTTTGCTCAGCAGTGGGCACTTATAGGCTGATGATGATGATGATGATGATGATCATCATCAAATGACTTCTCCCGCCCAGGGTAAGGCGAGAGCGAGTGTCAGACTCTTACTGACTATAGAACCCTCGTTCCTTCTCCTGTTTTGTGCAGAGGCCGCGGTGCCTCATTGCCCTTACCCCGCAACCCCGGCTGACACGTAAGAAGATTTGAGCATTAATCATTACCTGCGCTTACTCAAGGTGGATTGGCGATTTCAAACTTTTAATTAAAAACTGTAAGTCAAGGTTTCCTGACGATGTTTTTCTAAAATGTATGTCAGTAGCGTCTAAATGATCATAGAGAGTCGGAAAAAGTCACATTGGTACACAAGGATTCGAATCCTCATGCCTGAGAAGGGCTCCTCACGTAAACTCACTCTTTCATATCTACCGTGTTCAACAATATTAAGTATGTACGACAATTTAAATAACTAATTATACATACGGTATGTCATTGACCTCTAGATACAAAAGATCATTTACACCGCGCGGTTTTTCCATAAACTTTCAACTAGGAAATATAGAACCTGTACTGACTAAAAGTATATTTTGAGAGAGCTTCAACACAAATAGGCCGGCTAAATTGTAGTGATACCACGGCCTCACAGAAAACCGGCGTGAAGCAACCACAGTTGTGTTTCACCATGTGAATGAGGTTACTGGAGGCCCAAACCTTCCCCGCCCCAAACCCCCAATCCCAAAATTTGCTGTCCCAATCACATAAATAAAACATGAATTAAAATTTATTGAATTTAAAACTGTATCGCAGATTAAATCAATGCAATTTTATTCGCTACATGCGTTCTAGAGGTGCACTGGGGCATGGCACAGAATGCAAGTTCCGTGGCGCAAGCGTCCGTCAAATCACGATAGATTCTTATGCGACGCAGAATATTAATTAATTATTAATATTACAAACAGTAAACATTTTACCCAGTAATGACGCATGTTCTAACGCACTATGGCAGAAACGAATTAAGGCCTAGTATGTATAAAAAATAATACTTAATATGTAAACTTTATGTAATATTTCACCAGATATGGAGTGCTGAAAATAGTATGAATCGCCTACCTCAATATAATTATAATATATTGATGTAGGCGAGGTAGGTGAGGTAAACGTCCACAACATTTATCCTCAAAAGGTCAGCAAAGCACTCGTAACTCCTCCGATGTTCGGATGTCCATAGGCGGCGCTGAATGCTTACCATCAGGTAGGCAAACCGCTCGTTTGCCATCCTATCATATGAAAAAAAGAAAATTCCAGGTTGTTAGGAAAACAATACTTGTATAAAGTTTCAAATTAATCTAAAAGGACTTTTAAAAGTAGTTTCCAATCCTATTCTATCTATCCATGCTAATTACTAATAGTTATAATACATCGACAAATACGAGAAGGTTAAAAGAATTAGTACTATACCCCATCGAAGTAAGCTGACACACTGTGTCAAACTAGGGGTCCAGTTGAGCTTGCAACCACTTAAGCAATGCGGTAGATACGACTTGAAGCTTTTTGGCACCATCATCAGAAGTTTGCAGAAAGCTAAAGAATACCAATGGGCCCATCTGTGACTTGATCGGGGAAACCTATTATAGGTGTCTCCTAACAAGTTTTGTAATTTGTAATTATGTTTCAATTACAATGATAATGTTAATCTAAATAAAGGACAAAAGAGTGAGTATGCTTTGTTCAGCAGTGAACGTCTGCCAGCTAATGATGCTGGTAAAGATGATGGCATTATGTTAGACAATATGGTATTATTATTATCATCCCACCAAAGTATGACACAATAAAGATCATTCTATACAAATAAATAATAATGTTTCGTGTTTCTATTTGTCTTTGATTGACAATAGATGATCTCTTTTCGTATTAAAAACAAAACGACACAAACATTGAATTACAAAATCATGTAAAGTACTAAACCGATTTTAATAAAATACACGATAGATATAACCAGGACTAAACAATTTATTTAGGCACAGGTTCCAAAAAGAGTTTAAATAGAAAAGAAGAGGCTATTTAAAGTTTTCGTACAAACTAATAAGTGTGGGAGAGCCATGCTTCGCCACGAATGCAATCCATTTCCGATCCTTATATCCGCAACCCCTATCACCAAAAGGCACACGCACTCGTAACTCCTTTGGTGTTGCGGGTGTCCATGGGCGGTGCCGATTGCTTACCATCAGGGATGACTTAAAATCACGTAAAAGCTGTAAAGTTTGTTTGTTTGAACACACTAATCTCTCGAACTGCTGGTTTGAATTGCTGGTTCGAGGAATCATCAAGCTACGCTAGCTACCAATAGGAAACGAGCAGCGAGTGGAACCGCACTATAGCAGCTAGTGGTTACAATGGCGGTTTTCCCGTACTTAATATTATTATGCAAAACAAACAAATGCATAAGAATAAATAAAATCGAAAAACATATATTTATTTTTAACGTAAAATTTAACTTAAAGGCGCACGAATTGCCTCAATTACTCATTTATTTCGTAATAATGATTGTGAAATGCGACTGAGTCAGGATATAAGGAAAACCTAAGTTTATGATACCTTTATAGTGGGTAAGTGAATTTAAGTGTGAGAGAGAAGACCGGAGTTATACCACAGCTGCACAGAAAACCGGCGTGAAACAACAATGTTTCCTCACCATTGACCTCGAAATTTCTAAAACCCTTATCCCTAACACTGCAACGCAGCGCAAATGCGCCATCCTAAAATCCCTAATAACCACACAAGAGGCCAGAAACACACTTGTAGTAATTTCCTTTGATATTGCGAGTATCCATAGGCGCCGATTGCTTACCTTCAGGTAAACAAACTGCTCAGTTGCCGACCATGCCATACATAAAAAAGAGTTATGTCAAAACCATTTTAGGACGTACATATAACTCGGAAAAGTTACATTGTACTTACCAAGTTTCTAACCTTCCGAGCCACAACGGTAATATAAGGGCATGACATGGCAAAATTGAAATTGTTTCAAGATAAGTGAGTGGAGTCGGGGTATATATTAAAGCGAGCAATTACAACAATGATAGTGCATCGTTAGGTTGAATGCAACGTGCTGACACGGAAACAATTCGGTCACTGCTCGTCTGTCGATAAAATTCGATGAATAAGCATCAATATCGATAACGCGTGTCGCATCACTTTTATTATACCATTTTTTTTATTTTCGTTATGTTATATTTTTTTATTATTTACACGAATGAAAATACGGCCTATGTCCCATTTTACTAATATTATAGTTGTTCAAAGGACTTCTACGAGTCGGTCCCTCGTATGCCTTCCAAAGGTCCAGGTCCCTGTGGATATGACAATGATAACGAACACACAAAATAAATAAAAATAATAAGAATATAATCAAGACTTTAAAGATGTCAATTTATCAAATTAAATACAATAGTTGTTCTAGATATGTATTTTATTGACAACGTTATTGTAGACCATGAAAAAAGTATAAGGTTACAGTATTATCGCTGAATGCACTTTCCATGATAAAGAAAGAAATACAAGGTCGTAATAGAACCTAACACAATCTTATCGGTCGTTTCAATGTCCATTAAAAACTGAACCGAATGCAGCTGACTCACTATCCTGCAAAAAATAACCAACACAAACTTCAAATAACGCATCATGAACGTTGGTGTTAGAGTGAGACAGAAACACCCCAACGTTATAACCAACGAATTAAACCAATTACTTGCAAGACCCAACCAATTGCAATCCCCCTACATTCAACTCAGGTTTGAGTATAGTTTTCATTGCTCGTTTTGTTTATAAACATAACGTAAATCTAAGATGTAAACAGAGTTAGACAGTGAAGTAATCGACGCATAATTTCCTTGTATTGAGTTAGTTCTCCGCTTGCTGTTGCTGTACACTCGGGGCTTTCCAAGAACGTTCGCACACACGCGTGGCTAACGTTTGCACACACACACGGACGCGCGTCTTGCAACTGTCAGCGCGCGCGCAGCTCCGCAGTGCTCGTTCCGTGTTCCTCCGTCGATGAACTAGAATTAGTTTATTTATCATTTTGTATTTATTCCTTGCTGTTTTTATTGGATATTTTGGATTGTTTCTACTTTGGGTAAGTGATATTTATTGCCTTATAAAATATATACGTTAGTTTACATTTTCAGTGTCTGAATTGAGAATTTTGTTTTAATTCCTTCGGTATCACGTGTTTAGTGTTATATTGTCACTTTAAGTGAATGTTTTTGTCCTTCGGTAAAATGGAGTTATTGCCGTGTTATGTTTTTTCCATTTACAACGTAGGTATAAACGTATTTTATGATCCGGTAGATTCGTTTTGGTAACCGGCGTACCTAATTTAATAATATTTTTGTTCATGTAGTAATATTAAAACACGATAGGTCCAAGCAAAAATTACGTATTTATTTTTTTAATTCTCTTTTTTTTTTCAATAAAGCATAGATATATTGTTAGTAGTTTAGGTTTAGTAAAAGAATATAGGTACAATTTCAATTTATTTCGTTTTGCTAGGAATCTCTTGAATATTTTTATTCTATTTCAAGCCTGTTTTACATGTCTGGTGCTGTTTTTCTTCTTTTCATACGAAATTTAAAAAATGTGTTAGTTCTTTTGAAACATTGCTTGTTAACGTTCGTAGACAAATCAGAATAGCAATAACCGTGGCAATAACCAAAACTAATATCCTCTAATGATAATGATTAGCTTAACACAAGCGCTGTGAATTTTAATTATGCGTAAAAATAGATTTTCTTAACTAATTTAAATAAAAACGAAAAAGGATTTCGGACTGTTTCGGTTGATAAGCTAATGGCTGATTTAAAGAAAAGTATAATGACCAGTACTTTTAAATTTCTGACCAGATTTTAGTAACATTTAATGCCTAATAATACCTTTTTGTGAGGGGGAAATCATCAAATTACTTCTCCCGCCCAGGTTGAGGCGAGAAGCAGTGTCAGACGACTTGCACCCAGGTTCAGATAACAAGCTTTTATGGTGGTCGCAGATGCTGCCTTTGATTATGAGCTCTGGTTATGGCATGAAACTAGTTGAGCACGTTCGATGAGCTGTGTGAAAAAGTTGATTTTCAATTATATTTTATCGCTTTTATATGAATGAATTGTATGCAGTTTTATATGCATATACCTACTTATTATTATAATTGTTTGTTTATTTATCGTAACGTACGCAGTGCTATCAGTGTCTTCCGCCGGCGTTTTAAATGCTGTGCGATACCGATATATAGTATATATTTCCATAAACAATAACATTATTACCTAAGCTGTTATACATATTTACACATCATCAGCCTATATGTGCTTAGTGTTTACTGCTGACCAAAAGCGTCTTCTCACATGGAGAAGGTGTGAGCATTAATCACCACGGTTGCTCAAGACGGATTGACGATTTGAAAATTATAATTATAAATTATAAGACCAAGTTCCCTAACGATGTTTTCCTTGACCCTAGGTCTGAGTCTAAATGAGTTATGAAAGAGCAGAGGACTCGGAATAAGTCACATTGGTACTTGCCAGGCTTTAAACCCGAAGAAGCCCGAATGGTTAAGGTGCACCTTAACCATCGGGCCATGTCAGCAGAAGCTGTATAAAAGTAAAGTTTTAAGTAAATAACTATGTTGCACACTCGTCCTTCTCTCTCTCGGCTCTTTTTTATGGGACAATGCGGCAAACGAGCAGCCGAGTTACCTGATGGTAAGCAGGCGCCGACCATGGACAGCCGCAACAATTAAGGAGTTGCAAGTGCGTAGCCGGCCTTTTGAGGATTAGGGCTACGGATTTTTTAGGATTGAGATCGGACAGGGGAGGGGGAGGGATTGCGCCTCCGGTAATCTCACTCACAAAACCCTGTGGTTGGGTTTCGCCGTGGTTGTAGTCTGGTCTGTCGTCAGTTGGAAATCACAATTAGAGGTTTATCAGAGAGAACTGCTGTTCTAAGTGTGAATTTTGCAGTCCTTAGTCGGCTCTACCGATACCATTAGGAAAATTGAAAGCAGAAACTGAAAATTGTATTCTTATCAGCTGCTATCACTCGGCAGAAGTACTCAATTATATTATTAGTTTCATCTAGGGCAAGCGTCGTTCGTATACGCGTAATTTGAGACTATATTTCATATGTATCTGTTACAAATTTGATTCAGATCCGTTCAGAAGTTATTACATAATAAAATGTTTATTTTTTGTAGGTAGATTACTAGAAAATATATAATCTTAAAATCTAAAACAAAGTTCAATGTACACATCAACCTGTAATAGCTGCGAACCTGTGTTTCAAGTAAAAAGGTGCTGAAATACTTCTACGACAATATTATTGCTTATCAAACTAAACGAATAAAAATAACAACTCATTTAAATATAAACTAGTGTCTAAGTGTTACAGGTGCGCGTGTACAATTACAAAAACAGACGTCAGCTATTATTATATTATTTGCAAACCTCAAGTAATTCCTCACTTTGTTCATATGTTAGGGTGTGTATAAAATTATTTAATACCTTTTTACAGCGATAATGATTGAGGTTATAAATATTAAATTATCTATTTATTCTATTACTAGCTTGTGCCCGCGACTTTATTCGCGTGGAATAGTGATTTCCTACACATTTTTAGTTTAAAAACTATCCTATCCATATGTCCATGTTTCTCGAGTTCCAAACTATATCTGTGCCAACTTTTACACATACAGGTTCAATAGTTTAGGCGTGAAGAAAAGACAGATAGACAGACAGAGTTACTTACGGATTTATAATATTAAGTTTGGATAAGATTGGATATAAAAATGGGCCTAGGAAAATGAAAAATCTTTTTATAAAGGCGTGTTTTGACACTGATGTTGAACTGTAAACTATGTCATTTCGTCTTTTGTCATTAAAATAATTAGTATTTAAGGCTAATTTTTGCTGTTTGTGTATTAGTTGTACTATGTAAATTCATCATCATCATCCTCAGCCTGATGTCGTCCACTTCTGGACATAGGCATCCCCAATTACACGCCACTGCGCTCAGGCGCCACCACTGCCAGCCACCCTGCGGATGTCGTCAGTCCATCTAGCTGGAGGGCGCCCTACACTACGTTTGCCTAGACGTGGTCTCCACTCTAGCACAAATTTACCCCAACCGTCATCGGTTCTTCGACAAATCTGACCTGCCCACTGCCACTTCAGTTGGCTAATCCTTTGGACTATGTCGATTACTTTAGAGAAACTCCAAGCATAGGCCTTTTCATAGCTCTATGTTAATTTGGCGAACTATTAAAACATTGCAGGTTTTATATAGAATTGATGTAGGGTAAAGAAAAGGAAGGGAAATGCTACTTCAAGGATAGCCCTATAAGCACGTTCTAGAGGTAGAAGAACAGCTTTTGACCCCAAGAAGTAATACAATACTGTATAATAGATTGATATAAGGCTTGGTACAAATAGAGTGATTAATTTCGTGTCTCCAATATATCTCATCTTCTTAAAAATGTGCATCAATTTTCTAAATTTTGTAACCAGAATGCTGATGTGCTGTTTGAAGCAGAGAGTTTCATCGATTCTGCTGCCGAGATCGCTAATGGATTTAGTATTTTGAAGAGTAATTATTAACATCCATCCTTGCTCATCAATTTTCGTGGTTATTTTTATATAACGTATAAACCTTCTTGCAATGATAGCTTTAATTGGTTTTAGTGAATGAATGAGTAAACAATAAGGTAAGAGGAACATTGTAAAAACCCACTGGTTTTACAATATGTTTATGTACATCGGACGAGCAATATAATTTTATTTTGTTGTATATTTCATTAAATTATTGTGTGACTGGAACACATTGTGTATAAAAACCTACAGGTTTTTCTACTAGGACCGATGTATGAAACCATGCAACCAATACTTTGTTTGAAATATGAAATATAATTATAACATACTAGCTTCTGCTTGCGGCATCGCCCGCGTGGTATTTTGATAAAAACAGCCTACGTGTTAATCTAGAGTATCACTTATCTAAATAAAAAATTTCAACCAAATCAGTCCAGACATTTTTGCGTTAGGATTAGTAGGATATACGTATTAAGGAAGTAAAACAGGCCATAACTCATAAACAATAGATCACTAAAGACTAACCTACTTGGCAATTAAAAATACCTACTTATCTATGGAATTCTAGAAAAGAAGAATAATATGATATTTAAATTTCGAACGACCGCCATTGTTCTCATATTGATTGACACTAGCCTAGCGTATCTGATTACGAAATATTTACTTTGTACAGTATACAATAAAATTCATAATTCGAAATACGATATGAAATATTAAAAAAAATGAACGTATAGGTACCTATCGTTCGTTTGTATTTACTTTTATAAATAAAATATTCAGTTCTGATTTCCACGAATAGTTCGATATATCGGAACTTTTTATAGATATGTTTAATTACTTGTTACATTTTATTTATATAGTTTTTAATTATTTTTTCTTATATTTAAGTTTTGAGTATTAAGGCTCAACATTAAACCAAACATATTAATTACGTTTACAAGATAAACCTTTTAAGATTGCGTATTTATAGTTATAATTGGACATCTTTCATTCTTTTTAATCCCAAATGAGTGAGACAACTATTCCCGTATGATATGTATGTAATATAAAAGTAATTTTAAAAGTAGTTGATATAGATGATTCCGCTGTGATAAATAGGCGGCAGAATAGTACCGGAGTGATACAACGGCCTCGCAGAGACAACGTGGCGTACCTACTTCCTCTTATGGTGTTGACTCCTTTTATAGTGAATAGAAAATTTTCAAGGTTCGCCTCCTACCTGGTTGAGAGTCAGTGTCAGATTGTTACTGAACAACTTTTCAATTCTATTCTAGTATAGATATCAAGACCGTATTGTGTATATTCAGGTACGGCGACCTACTCCCGACACCTGAAGACTCGGTAACTCCAAGACCATCCACAGAGTCCCAAAATCCTGCCACCAAAAAGCTGATAGCACACTCATAATTCGAAATTAGAAGACCCGTTTGTTTATTGACTGTGCTTTCCAAAAAGGTCAGACAGAGTTCTAGTGCTGTTGCCCAATTTTAAAAAAAGAATACCAAAATTCTTCGTTTTAGTGGGAATTTTGAAAAAAGAAAGACAACTATTGTACTTTTTTTTTCGTTACGATTCAGTTTTATTTGTCATTTTACAACAAAACGTTGTAGCGTCGAATATTCAACGTTGAGTTCACGATGTAAAATTTGAAATGTATATGAGCTGCTTGAAGTGACGTGACAGTCATTTGAATACATGTTCATGCACATAATTCTTTTTCTTTTTAACGCGACTATAACTCGCTGTGGAGACGTGTTTTGTTTTGTTTTAATGAAACACCAAATAGTTTTTAGATTTGAGTCTCCAGTAACTTGAGTCTCACGACGAAACCCAACGCTGTGGTTGCTTCACGCCGGCTTTCTGTGAACCAGTCGGACCGAGTCATTCGTGCCTAAGCATAAATAATACCTACTTTATTCAATACGGGAATCGAACCAAAGGTTCTTGACCTAACAGATAAAATTAACCCCAAAAAGGTCGTACTAGACGTACATAAATATAAAATTTATTGCAATTCCTCCCATCACACCTCAATTTAAAATTGACAAACGAATCCTCCAATCCCTAACTCGGAAAAGGTCGGCAACGGACTTGTTAATCCACTAGTTTTGCTAAGATGTTCTAAGTGGTGCCAATTGCTTGACATCAGGTGATTTGTACACACGTTTGCTGCACTACTCACATACAAAAATTTTATTAAAAATCATGAATGAATCCAGGATAAATTAACTACGTAAGTGACTGATAAACTCAAGCGTTATTCATAAACAAAATAAAGTTATTTATATTGAAGTTTTTCCTTATGACACCATTACACGTCATTGATAAGCTTTACCAATGAAATAGAGGTTAGATTTACGCACAGACAGACGTAAATCATATAAATTTGATAAGGTATAAGGAAAATATAAAATACGGGCTAAACGGACTGCACAGTTGACCAAATAAACCAATTAAATTCTCATGTTACAACAAGCGAAAATACAATGACGGTTGGCGCGGTGGCTGGGCAACCGGCTGCCGTGCAATGTATCACGGGTTCTATTCCCCCAAGGAAGAACTCTTTGTCCACAAAGTTTAACATTTACAACATTTTAAAGTATATATAAAAAATAAGTAAATACGCGAAGTTAATTAAAATATTTTTAAAATTAATGGCATTTAAATAGATCGTGTCTACCTTAAACTAGTTTCTGTTCGTCGTAAGCGTCCGTATAAGGAAAATACAGACGATTTTTACACGTAAAAAGACCTACTTTTGGTTGCTTGGTTAGGGAAAATTAACAGTTCAACTATTGACAAGCGCATATGCAATCAATTCGACATGTGTGCAATTGTACAATCATACGATAGCTAGATTAATTTCTCGATGTACACGGGTACATCAAGTTATTTTTGTATTGTAAACTAACTTCGCACGCGAATAAAAGGAGTAATATCCCGGGATTTTAAAAGTATCATATAAAGTATAATTTAAAACCATATAATTTATAGCACTAAGAAACATTGTATCAGTGAAAGTATTTTGAAAATCCAATAAGCAGTTTCAAAGATTACCTTTGATTAAATTTGTAGGTAACTTTATATGTGGGGGTCCACATATAAAGTTACCTACAAATTTTACCTCTTTATAATATTATTACAGATAGGACTTATGACTAAGTCGACGTCACCGCATCGCGATTATTGCTCGCCAAACTTTTAACTTTTGGGGATTAGGAGATATAGTGTCTAAATTTTTTTTTAACAATTTGATACGTTCGGAGAGATAGCCTGGTGTCATCTGTCAGTCAATCAGTCAGCGACTTCTATGGAAACGTGCAACTTCAAAGTAGTTAAGAATTCGTTGTCGTCAGACTGAAGATTTTGGGGGTTTTGGGGCAATCCTACAGGTATGGGAGAAATCTGAGGATTGAGCCTCCGGTAACTTTATACGGCGAAACACAACTCTAGCGTTGTTTCACGCCGGTTTTTTCTGCAGCCGTAGATGATATCGCTCCGGTTGAGCCAGCCCATTCGTGATTAAGCATGGCTCCCACACTAACTTTTATTTTTCTGTTGTTTCAGTGTCAAAATGACACCAAAATCGAACAGCTGTTGCGGCATCAGCCTGCGTCCACTATGCTTCATGATTGGATACCTGCATCTGGTGAGTTTTTACTATAAACTTTCACTAAACAACCACACTTATGTATTACATACATAGCTACACATAGGTACATATATCATTACATACGATCACTTATGCTTATATGAAAATACACAAAGTGAAAAGAGTTGATAGTCATTTTTTTTTTAAGTTATGTATTTTTGCTTTTAAAGTGACGTGAGAATTCGATTAGTTTACTTTACCCTATCAAAATAAAACTTTTCTGTGCTTTGTACCAATGAACTACTTATATATGTATATGTCGCAAGACATCCAACCAACGGCCTGTTAGTAGTAGTCGTTTGAGTGAATGGCTGAGTCAGGCTGTAAGTAGAAGGGCAAAGGGATTGTCATGAACACCGAGTTGTTAACAAAACAAACTGTGTAACTAAATGTGGTTGGTTATTTAGATTAGGCTTATCTTGATTCATTTTTGCTTAGCCTTTTGGGACATAAGAGACTGTGTAGGTAATTTTGAGGTCACGCGAAATTTAATTAATCCACCCGATAACTCGTTAGCGAAGCAATGACAACTCGTCTTCGAAGTTGGATCGTTTGAGACTCAATTGACCCATTCGATCAAGTGTGTAATCATAGCTATTAGCCTATCCGATAGGCTTAGCAAATTCGTCAATAATTATATGGAGCAGTTCCGATTCAACGCGCCGAAACGATCGAACGCGAAACCTACATACAGTTCAATATTGTAAAGATACTTATTACTTCCCGCGACTTTGTTTGTGGATTAAAAGATTATTTGAACTTTTCAAAAAGCTATCTGCAAAATACAACCTTTATACGATCAGTAATTGATTGAGCAGCGTCCCTTAATACTCTATCAATAGTAAAAAAATGGCGACAAATCCTTTAATTCCTAATAAGCCACAAGTGGTCGGCAACGCACCCCTAGTAACTTCTTTGGTATTACCAGTGTCCATGGAGAGCGCCGATTGCTTAACATCAGGTAAAGTGTCTCATTTGCCGACCTAGGCCATAAAAACACATGCGAGAAAAAAGTAAGAATGTCTTCTAAATTTTGCAAATACGATTAGAAATAAACGTCTTAAGCCTCTCTTGGTATATCGGAGCCCCAATCCTTCCCCGCTCCCAAACCCTCCTCAATCCCTAAATCTCCAAATCCCTAATCCCTAAAAGGTCGGCAACGCACTCGTAACTCTTCAGTTGCGGGTGTCCATGGGCGCTGATTGCTTACAATCAGGTAATCCGTCTGCTCGTTTGCCCACTTATTACATAATACACAACGTCTTCCGAAAACCATCAGTCATATGTGAAGAGTTTTATATACGTATGTAGGTACATATTGATCGTCAATTATACATAATTATATGGAGATCGCATTGAACCAAAGTAATCGAAGCGATCAGTTACGCGTCACATTGACACAGTTCAGTACCCCAGTATACTAATCTGCTTTCTGATTATGAAAGGACGGGCGATTCACACCCGCGGGAATTTCAGTTTTCAAATTGAGTTTTAGTGCAATCTGTTGGCTAGCAATTAAACTGTCAGATGTAATCAAAAAGTCGTTTAGATTGTGAAAGTTTTGTTAAAAAATTTTGTTTAGTGTGCTGACCTGGCTATAAAGGATTGTGATGGGAGGACAACAACTATATTTTTTTTGGAATTGCATTTTTTATTTATTAATAGGTACCTAGTATTTTTTGTTGTATATGGTTGGAAAGCAATCGTTTCTAGAACAAGACAAGGCCAATTTGATATTCAACAAGTCAAAATTTAAGGTTATTCAAGTAACAAAAAGTTTACTGAATTTGCAGTCAAGCAATTTCTGCGGCCAGTGGCATCGATGAATTCTAAGTACGTTGCTGGCCCAGGGTTTTGGAGATTTAAGAATTAGGAGATTTGGGGTAGAGGAGAAATTAGTCCTCCGCGGCTTCGGCAACCTCACCAACAGAGCGTAATAATACTCAACTCAAGCGTTTTACGACAGTTTTCTGCGAGATCACTCCGGCCTTCTTTATCTAGCTTACTTCTAAGTTTTTGAAGATAACAATATTTTGGTAAACGTTTATATGAAGTTACTGTTTTCTAATAGCAGAATTACAAGCCAGTTTGAATAGTAATTTTACAAAATTTTATATTACTTACACTGCTTATAAAATCACTTCTGTGTCCCGTGCTACTACCGTTACTCAACATCACATCACATTATCAGCCTAAAAGTTCCCACTGCAGATCAAAGGCTTCATCTCAGACGGAGAAGGTTAGAGCATTAATCACGAGAGCGATTGGTGATTTCAAACTTATATGTAGAAATTATCAAACCAGGATAACTCACAATAAGGCAAATAGCTTCACTAAGAAGACTGACCGATAGACTGACACTGTATCTTCAAAATTTTGTTTGACGTTCAAAAGTACCTGTAAGTTTCTAATTGGAATAAATTATTTTTGACTGTTTTTTGAAATATTACCTATATTTTTTTTTTTTGTAATGTTGTATGTTACATTACAAAAAAAAAATAGTTTCATTTATCGTATAAAAGTGATGTTTTTTTTTATGGTATAAGTCGGAAGAGCAGCCGGATTACCTGATGGTAAGCAATCGGCGCCGCCCATGGACACCCGCAATACCAAAGAAGTTACGAGTGCATTGCCGACCTTTTGGAGATAGGGGTTGCGGATATAAGGATCTGGAAGGGATAGGGGGAGGGATTGGGCCTCCAGTAACCTCAAATGTGTAAATAATCATAGAAAGCATAAACATATACATATATCGAAAAAAGTCACATTAGTACCAGCGTGACAAGCGGGTGCCTTAACCTCTGGGCCACCACTATAGAGGAGTTACTCAACAATGTTCTAAAATACTTAGACTCCATTCTAAGAATTTAGCATCTGCTACTGAATTACAACGATGAAATAAAGGGCCGGATGTGGCCGGCATGTTTTGTATTGTTGTCCGTATTGTAAAGGGTATCAAGTTGCACCTGACGCATTATTCCACGAACTTTGTACTGGGTTTTACATTACAAATATGTACTGCAATGAGGAAATATAGACTTTTATTATTACTTTGGGTTAAGGAATGAGAAATAAGGGGATTTGGAAAGAGTGATTAACAGACTTTTGTCTTTAACTCTTAAAATATCATTATCTTCTCTCTCCCTCTAAATTACGTGTAGTATGTCTGAGTGCATTATTTTTTCATTGTATCAGAACCACACTCTAATCTTTCTACTCTTCTTATCTTTAAAAATTTTTCTTCAAGCAATCTCTTGTTTAATCTTCAAATTTCAAATAGCTTAAGCGTGAGAGAGGCATGCTTCGGCAAGAATGGGCTGGCTTGACCGGAGCGATACCACAAGCTCACAATAAAGCGAATAAGTGAGACAATCAGAGATCCAACTCATTCCCTCCCCAATGCCCAAATCCCCAAAGTCCTAACCCCAAAAGGTCAGCAATGTACTCATAGCTCCTTTGATGATACCATAACGTAATTAACCAGCCCTAACACAAAAAAAACTTAAAAATCAATTAATATAGACTTGACTGCGTATCTACCAATTCAAATTTGGATTGCGTAATATTCTTTGAGGATGTACACGTATAAGGATATTATAATCGCTATATCATCGAGAGAAAGGAGGAAAGTATCTCAAAGCTAAGATTTCTAATCATAAACACATGTCATGTTAGACCCGTATTATAAAGAAACGTCGTTCAATTTAAAAAATAAAATTCTCGAGGCAATTTCTTATTTAACATTCTCCAAGTTCGTATATTTGAAGCGGAGAATGCTGATAAAAATAATTTCCTGTTTCGAATTGTATGTTAAGAAGTTAGCACACTGCCTCGTGTTATACTGACTTTGGAAGGTCGAAACTTCATTGGATAGACAAGCCCAGTACTTGTAATGTTATTTTAAATTTCATGTCATTTATCATTGAAAATGATTTTTCAATATTGACAACATTAAATCTATAACTATTAATACAATGCTCAAGAGTTTGTTTTTTTGTTTTAACTCGCTAATCTCCGAAACTGCTGGTTCGAATTGAATATTTTTTTTTTGTATTTGTTAGGTAATTTATCGAGAAACTCAATGGGGTGTAAAATATTATGATCTACATATATAGTAGCTGACCACGGAGGCATTTGAGGTGTGACTTGTTGTTTCCTTTATTTATTGATCACTCAGGTCGAGCTGACCCATTAGTGCCGAAACATGGCACTCCCACACTTATTTATCAGCGGACTCACGCATTGTGTAAACTCCTTAAGCGTGTCAGTCAAATTTTCTAACCACAAACCACTTAACTTATACCTATACACACATAGATATATTCCATTAAAATTACTCGAAGCTTCGTTAAATTTAATAATGTACTAATAAAAAAAATATGAACTTTGCCTCTTCGAAGTTAATATTAATTAATTGTCATTTAGCTGCTCGTCGTCTTTGTACTTTTTTATGGTATAGGTCGGCAAACGAGCAGATGGATTACCTGATGGTAAGCAATCAGCGCCGCCCATGGACACCCGCAACATCAAAGGAGTTGTTGTCGAGTGCGTTGCCGGGCTTTTAGGGATAAAGGTTTAGGATATTGAAGGATTGGGAAGGGATGATGGGTGGGGAGGCATTGGGCCTCCGGTAACCTCACCGGTTTTCTGTGAGGCCGTTGTATCACTCCGGTCGAGCCGAACCATTCGCGCCGAAGCTTGGCTCTTCCATACTTAAATAAGATATATTTTTAATTTAACTTACACTAAGATTTTGCTGCTGTATCGTGAGAGTAAATCAACAGTACCCACATAATCATCAACGTCATGATCTACCCTAAGTGACCACTTTTGAGCAAAGGCGTCTTCTCACACGAAGAAGATTTGAGCGTTAATCACCACGCTTGCTTAAGGCTGATTAGCGAATTCAAACCATGAGCGATTTCAAAAGCGAGGTTCTTCTTCGCCGTTTGGCAGTGATGTTTCAATATACTTAGGGCTGATTTTTCAATAGTTGGATAAATGTTATATGAGGAAAATATTGTTGCTGTCACTGTCTTATACAAACATTTTGACGCGACCGCATCATAATTATTCTGCAGATAACTTTTATGTAACCATTGAAAAATCAGGCTTATATAGAAAGTCCTACACACATAACTCGAATATATTCACATTGGGACTTAGGTTTTGATAAGCGAGAACCATACACTTCTAGCCACTACGACAGACAAAACATACACGTAGGTATTATGTAAATATTTGGCCGATAAACTAAGATCATTGACAAGACATCTAAACATAATAGGTAATATTATGTATATTGTAACTCGAACTACAATAACATTATCAGTTTATATAACGTGGGTAAATAATAACATGACTATATTCCCTTGAGAGAATCTTAGAGAGTTGAATATAGGAGAGCCATGCTTTGGCACTAATGGGTGTAGGTTCGACCGGAGTGATACCTACCACGGCCTTACTGAAAAAAACCGACTAGAAAACCACATTTGTTTCACTGTGCGAGTGAGGTCCTTCATTCCAATCAAACAATCCCAAATACCTTATACCAATCCCCAGAACCGAACCCAGTACCCCATCCCCAAACCCCAATCCCATATATCCAATCAACAATCCCCAATCCCCAAATCCGGCAAGCAACGTAGGTCAACAAGCCCTTGTAGGTGTTGCTAATGCCTAGGGGCAGTGTCCATTGCATTTAATGATCCATCAGCTCGTTTTGCTGACCTACGCCATAAAAGAGTTTTAAAGATTTTGTTTACTGCATATAGCAGAAGATTGTTTTTACTTTGAAAAAAATTAGGTAAATAGCTTCTTAACTGCGCAACTGATTTTAATGAGTTTTGGTATAAGAAGACAAAGACGAGAATAATGTTTTGTAATTAAGTAAAGCCAAAAACATAAGCTTGTCATATAAATATAGGTAATCATTGCAAGCATTAGTTCAACACATTATTTTCTATCACGCTTTTAACCAACCGTCGTCGGTCGGCCTGTAAACGTTAGTAACCAACTTCGTATTATTTCGATTCGGCTCGTATGATTTCGGTTCGTCTCGTGTGATTCCGGTTCGTCTTGTATGATTTCGGTTTGGCTCGTATATGTTCGGTTCGTCACGTATGATTTAGGAATAAGTTTAATAAAGAATTAATAATTTGCAATACCTGATTAGGCAACTTGAGCATGTAGCTCATCGTCTGTGTCGGTATATGAACTGTATAAGGCGTGATTTGGATCGGGCCTTCCGGTTGACCTTAAATGGTACTCTTCATAGTTAAACACTGCGCGCTCACTGCCCCCTATCTCAAAAACGATTCGACGTATAAAAACTCTTGAAGCAAAAGTTGTAGCGAATTTTATTGTATTGTACAAAATCGATTTTTGTTAATTTTAAACTAAATTTTTGAAAGATGCCGAATCTTACAGTATAAACATTTTGGTTTGTATTAGACTGGACTATCACTTCATTCCCGCCTCACGCCAGAATGTCACAATCCGTTCAAAAATCCTCTCGAATCACCGCTATCTTTTTCGATGATATTCCTATTTGTGTAAAATTTGGTACAGACATAGTTTGGAACTGGAGAAAGGACATAGGATAGTTTTTAAAACAAAAAACTGCAGGAAGTCACTATTCGACGCGAACAAGGTCGCGGGCAAAAGCTAGTTAAAAGATATTCTTTAACAGTGTATTTTTTTTTCACGAGCCACAGCATTTATTTGTAACGTATCTATGGTTGATCTAATCGGTTGCTAAGCAACGTCAGACGTTATAATAACAATATAATGTTTATGTTTCTAGGCGTCAAGCGTGGTGGATGTGGTCTGTCATCTACTGACCGTCGCCATTGTCACCAATGGGTTCCAGTGTGATGTGAACAATGAAAGCGTGAGTAACATTCAATCAGTTATTGTATTGTTTTCGTATAATACTTTTTCATATAATATAATTTTGATATGACATAATTAGAGCCCTTTGAATGTCGGTATGCCTAAGTAAGCAACTTTGCTTGTACCTAACTTATCCGAACAAATGTTAAAAAAGTGATGTTGAGCCTTTTATTGCCGACAGAAAACTATTCATAGCAAATTTTTGATGAGTTCATTTAAGATAAGTTTGTAATTTCGAACGCCTGAAAAAAGCTGTTAAGCTGTGCCTGTTATTTCATTTGTACTTTTGAATACAAACCTTAACATGCATTCATGCATTTAAAGAATTTGAGTTTCGAGTTTTAGTTTGGGTATCATAGAAACGATTTTTGAGCTACAAATCTCACAAAGAATTGTTAAGTGCATAAGTCGAACTCACATCACGTTGTACTGGCCTCAAAGAGTCAATAGACCACCAGATGAAGTCCTCAGGGTTTATGTTCAGCCGGGGTTGCTGTGTAGGCGCAATGTGGCACCGCGGCCTCGGTCTAAAGCAGGAGAAGGAACGGGAGGGTTTATAGTCAGTAAGAGTCTGACACTCTCTCTCTCTCCTTGCCCTGGGCGGGAGAAATCATATGATGATTTACCTCTGACAAAAAAAAACAATCACATTGTACAGAAGCGAGTTGCCCGGCCAACGTATCAACAGTGTTTGTATTGTCTAGCTTAATGATGTTATGAATGTATTGTTTTGTCTGGACAGACAATGGAAGCTATGTCTGGGGAAGGGAAGGTGTCTCTGCCTTCAAGAGTTGGAAACGATGCGATCATTATAATATGATTGTTATAAATTCTGCTTGGGTTAACCTTACTAGTATTACATGGATATAAAAACACACATAGTTAACGAAACTTGGGTATGCAGTGCATCAGAAATCCAGGATAACCGCCAGCCCCGCAGGCTAGGGCAGTAAGGGACTACGCCCTCGGCATAAGTAGAAGAACGAATGGGGGTGTTTTTAGTCAGTAATCGGCTGGCACTCCCTCTCGCCTCACCCTGGGCGAAAGAAGCCATTGGATAAGTTTCCCCTCACAAAAAAATGTACATCAGAAATGTTGCGTGGTGTTTGGGCCATTCTTCTCATTAATTTAACTAAAAATAACAAAGTATCCTTAAACAAAAATTAAAAATCATGGCGATTAAAATATAAGTCACGATTATATTAAATTAAATCGTAATGTAAATACAAATACAAATACAAAAATATAAATACAAGTAATTGATAAAAAATATTGCCAAAGGTAGGGAACTAACGGGTTTTTCAATGGTTAGAATAAAGTTATCTGGGGAATAATTATGATACTGTCGCGTCAGAATGTATAAGATGTATAAGACAGTAAAAGCAACAATTTTATTCCTCAGATACCATTTATATTTAATAATCTATTGAAAAATCAGCCCTAAGATGCTTAACAACCCAAAAGGATAATGATTTGTTAGAGTTTTTCGGAGAAACTCTCATCTATTTGGCCAAAGAGGCAATTTAAGATTATTTATTAATAGATAAAAAAAAACCTAGCAAAAACATTGTCTACATTCCGAATAACATTCAGAAAAAATTGGCAAAAAATCGCTTCGCTCAAATTTCTTACTACCTATATCTACTAAAGCAACGTCACTCAATTTTTTTGCATTGATAACTGTATTTTTTTTTTATTAGGTACGGTTCACAACATACCGAAGCTATGATAGCTAAATATAAAAGTCATAAAAAGTTAAAATATCGTGACTTCTTTGGTCATCTTTAATAGTTAACTCGTGATAATGTGATAAAAAATTAATGAGTTAACGATCTAACCGAGTTTATTTAGTGGCGGTAAAGTTTGATGATTTTATAACAATATTATAGGAAGCTGGTGGAGGCACCTTTACTCTTCAGTCACTGACATTTCCCTGTTACCTGTGTTGCTATTTCTATTAACTATTCCCGGCGTCCTGTCGGTGAGTTAGCGAGTCTTCGGCCCTTCATTCGCCTCCCAACACCCGACTACCGACCAGGATATTTGAAGGGTCTTTCGAACACTTCTACCGCCTTGGGTGGGAGTTCTTACTGACTATAAACCACTTGGTTCCTTCTGGGTTATATTACCACTGTCATGTTATTAATATCCCTTTTATTGTAAAACTATGAACTCGTGATGACAATGACTCGAAATAAATAGGGGAACGGAATGAATTTGACATTGACGTAGTACCGACGGAATAATCATGTTCAAGTTAATATCAGTCTAACTTTGACTTATCCACATCCACTCTTTTTTTTTTACTCTATGGTTTTCAAGTACCTAATAAAACATCTACAAATATATTAGATGACAGAAATAGGTACGTATAGTTATATAAATAAGAGAACATTTATATAACATCGTTTTGTATTTATAAAATTGCCTAACAATACGTGTTATGATTAGAAGGAAATATGTCATAACATGACATCTTGTCAGTTATTTTGGATTTATTTTGTTTTAGTTTTAGGTTCAGACTCATCAAAACGCGAAACTTCACTGGTTCAAACCATTAAATCCAACAATCGAATAACTAGGTACGTGACATATATTATTCACATTAAAAAAATCCTCATTTAACTAGACTCTAAAGTCACGTCTTTTTTTAAGAAATCGACTGATACCCAAAATATGTATATTAGAAAGACAGTCAATTGTTGGCGTTTTTTAAAATCCTAACGCCACTAGTTATAAAATAATCTAAATATAAGCTAATAATATTTTTTATTAAAAGTAGGTATCAATGAAATCGCATTCAGGATGTAGTGAGAGATGGCATCTTGTGTTGCATTCTTGTGCACGAAGCAATAAATAAATGAATGACCCCAAATATGGTACTTAAAGCACCTGTAATAAACTTACCAAACTCACAAAATTTTAAAACAATGATTTCCTTAAAAGATAAGGAAAGAATGCAGCGCCGTTTGTAATAACTGGTTATTACTCAGACATGCAATTTCCTGTGTCGCAATGGACATATATTAAATGTTATAAAACAACAATTAAGTTTTGCTCCCTTAGTTGTTAGTTTGTATCCGTGTCAGATAGCACAATCTTTACTGATATTATCGAGCTGAATAGTTTGTTTGTTTGTTTGAACGCGCTAATCTCAGAAACTACTGGCTCCAATTGAACAATTCTGTTGCATAGTCCATTCATCAAGGAAGGCTTTAGGCTTTTAAAAGTTACGCTATGAGTAATCCTAGCTGAACAGCGGTGAAACCGTACGTGATTTACTAGCAATATTAATCCTTTAATATCAATATCTTTAATATTAATCCTTTGATAAGTAGAATATTATTTACCTGTATGAAGGATGTTATCAAGACAAGGAACGGGGCAGTTTATAGTCAGCTAGAGTATGACATTCCCTCTCGCTCCAATCAGGGCGAATCTCCCCACTCAATAAAAGTAAAGTTGTTCCTCAAAAAATGGTTCGATAGATGAAACATTTAGGTCATGCATTTCGACTATTGTATACTCATACAAGCTCCAGTCATCTCACGCATCAGTCGGAAACGATCATATCACCCACCACGTCAGCATTAGAGTTCTACGTAATTATTGTTATCTATATAGTTGTGTCCTGCATTCATGCAATTTAATGTTATTTATGTTTTGCTCCAGGAATAACGAATGAGTATTCATTACATTCCGTTTTTGTTTGAAACGTTTATTAGAAATACTGTTTTTGGAGACAATTCAGTTGCCAAACAATAACATAAAGATTGCAATTGGGCCAATTATACCTCCTCACCCCACCCTTAATCCTCAAATCCCCTGTCTTTTAATCCCAAATAACCTTCAAGAGGTCGGCAACCCACTTATAGTAAATCCTTTGGTAATACGAGTGTCCATGGACGGTGTTAATTGCTTACCAATAGGTAATACGTCAGCTCGTTTGTCGACTTATGACATAAAACCAATACAAGATGCTCTGATAAAATAATACAAAAGCGTCATCGATAAATGGTCACTGACCGAAGATCTGCATCCATTATTGTTGATAGCTTTTTTAAGGGAGGCAAACATCAAATTACTTCTCTAGCCCACGTTGAGGCGAGAGGGAGTGTCAGACTCTTGCCGAATAAATCCTTATTGCGCTAGGCCCTGGATTGTTAACAGCTAAAGGCTTAAGCACCATACAGGTTTTAAATAGCTAATATAAAACCTAATATTCACGCCATCGCCATAACATGAGAACTACTCTACCAAATTGGATAATTGCATAATTCTTGTCGTTATTTTATACAAAAATGCGAAAATATGTTCATTCCTTTCAGAAGACTTATCACAAATTTTCTCTTCTACAGCTCCAAGCAATCTCCATACCATGGCTGGAACCCCTACTGATAGTGCTGAATCTGGGCACCCATGGTTTCTACCCATACCCTCGCGTCTTCCGCAACCAGTACCACATCTACGTGGAACAGATGTCCGTGGCCTCGGAACCTAAGTGCTACCCTGGAATGCTGCATATCTACCTGATAGACCTTCTTAATTTCTTGATAAACCTTATCTGGTTGAGGATTGTCGTTTCTTATGTTGGGGCTGTACATAAGGTAATTATTATTTATCATTAATATTATCCAACAATTTTGAGTCATCTATACTAATATTATTAAGGGTATGTATATTTGTAACTTTCTATGTAGGTTATAATCTTTGGAACCGCTGGTCGGATTGTCAAAATTCTTTCACTGATACAAAGCTACAATGTTCCTGAGTGCTATAGTCTATGAAACATCACGCTACGATTAAATGGAGTGAGTGAAACGCGCGAGAGTAGCTAGTTATAAATATTCTGGCTTTCCAGCAACTGGCTATAACGCAATTGCGGTTTCAATGTCCGCACTTTAGAATTTCTTGATTGATCCAAAAACTGGTGTTTCGGAACTGAGATTGATGTATTCGTAAATACCACAACGCTACAGGTGAAAATCCTATATGGCCAGGGGCAATGTTTTTTTTAAATATTATTTAAAGGTCATTTTGTACACCATAAGTCTAATTTTAACCGGAATGTTTATTCTGAGTCAATTAAGAAGATATTCAAAACATCTTCTGAAATCCTTGTAGGAGTTTGATCAGCAAATCATCGATTTATTTTTATCAAAACACATTGCGCCACGCTAGGATTATCGCCTTTGTCGGTTACAAACGTACAAATCTGTATACACACCACCCTAAACAACAATTTGTGGATCACACAGTGTTGTGCCGTGCGATAACAGCAACCCGCGACAGGTTACACAGCAGCCAGTTAACTAGCCACTGCGCCAAACCTGCCGTCGATTTTGTAGTACATACAAGGATTTATTTACTACAAATTTATTTAAGCAATGGCAATTTAGCTCTGAGTATTATTTTATTACTCGGACATTTATCTTAGCCATTGATTTAATGGCAAACAATAAAAGAAAAAGAATTTGTGCTCCTAACCAAATTTCCGAATATAGTTTATCCCATTATTATAAATGTGAAAGTGTGGGGTAGATATATGTTCGTCAATTTTTACGCAAAAAAATATTAAGCGGATCTGAATAATGCACCAATATTGATCACTAGCTTTCGCCAGTTGCATCGCCTGCGTGGCATATTAATAAAAAGCAGCCTATCTGTTGATCCATGGTATGACCTGTTTACATACTTAATTACAACCAAATCAGTATAGCCGTTTTGGAGTGAAAAAACAAACACACGTCCATACATTCTCATAAACTTTTACATTTATAACATAGGTAGGATAGGATGAAAGTTTCATTAAAATCGGTTTAGTATTTTACTAGATTATGACATTGAAGGTTTGTATCGAAATCAGTATACCGCATAAAAACTCTTAAGGCACTTGTTGTGCAAGCAAAGCCGCTACCAGATGAAAGTAAATAATTGTGATTTGTATTATGATTATTAACTTTGTAATAACAATCAGCTTTCCTTTCTTGACAGAAAAACCCTGAACCTATGCGTATGTTCCTGAGCCTCTCTGTGGTAAAGCTGGTGATGCAGGCCATGTACTTTGGCTACCAGCCCTTCTTCTACGACGTCTACACTATTGAAACTGTCTGGTTCTTGAAGCTCACTGATATTTGTAAGTATAACTCTACCTACTGTGTTTTTGAATAGGGAGAATCATCCAAGGACTTCTCTTGCCTTAGTGTCTTCCTTTACCTGTTGCTAGCCGTAACCAAAATACATCATTGCGCTTGACCCGAAACCGCGGGCAAAGAAAAGAGCATTCTTCATTTTAAAAAGGAAATTCGTCACCTCTCATAGTGTTAGCGGTAATATCTAGCATTTTATAAATACCTTACCATTAATGATAAAGAAAAAAAAATTATGTCATCGTCGTTTCGGTATTTAACCTCTTTAAGCTTAAAGTTATGTAAGTATCCCTCAAGAAAGACATATTAAAAACCCTTATCTGAATTCGTAACACTACCTTTTGATTCATGCATCCAAACAGTAACACAGGTTGTTCTTTAACAGTTCATTACTATAAGAGCAATGTTCATGAAACAATCCTGTACATTAATAACACGAGAATACACACAGAATAGTATTTGTACACCCAAATATTTATCTACACAACCCGGTGTATGAGCTCACACTTTCATCTTTGTATTATGAATACATTTTAATTATACGCACATATTTGGTTGACACACGATTTGATTAAATTTTGATGTTGGACACATATTAATGTACGTTTCCGATGCACCTGTTTATGTTATTTCGAATAATTTGAATAATGCCAATATAGGCAATGATAATTTAACCTGTCGTAATCTGATTCACATCTATTTTGGCGATCGGGGTTGCGGTTCAAGCGCGATAATGTTTTTTTTGTATAAGTCGGCAAACGAGCACACGGATTACCTGATGATGAGCTATCGGCGCTGCCCATTGACACTCGCAACACCAAAGAAGTAACGTTGCCGGCCTTTTGGGGATAGGGGTTGCGGATATAAGGATCGGGAAGGGATATGGGAAGGAGCGGGATTGGGTTTCCGGTAACCTCACTCACACGGTGGAACACAACGTTGTGGTTGTTTCAAGCCGGTATTCTGTGAGGCCGTGGTATCACTCCGGTCGAGCCGACCTATTCGTGCCAAAGCTTGGCTCTCCCACACTTAGCACTGCGAAACCAGGCCTGGAGCAAGACTTGGAGGTTCTCTGGAGTCACTAAGAATCTGACCCGCAATAATGCCCTCTCCAAGGCAAGAGAAGTCATTTTATCGAAAGTAAAAATGTCATTATATGATCTCTAAAATGCCAACAAAGATCTGATGGAATACTAATTGCACGCGTGTTTGGTTTTTGATCAAATTAGCTTTGAATATCATTCATATTGATTTTTGCGTAACACGCCATCATTTTTATTGCAAACAAAATATATTCTCCGATACAACATTTAGGTTATAGTAGCCAATAGCAATAAACGCATGCTATTGGCTAAGCTATATAAGCTAAAGCTATTGCTGTATACCTAAGCTAAAGTAAATGAGGAAGTATTAAAGTCATCGGCATTCTTATATTGTTGGGGACCTTCAAATTTAATACACAACCAGCAATATTTATTACCTTTTTTTGCCAGGGGAAAATCATCAAATGACTTCTCCCGCCCAGGACCGGGCGAGAGGGAGTGTCACACTCTTACTGACTAAAAACTCCCCGTTCCTTCACCTGCTCTGGGCCGAGGCCGCGGTGACTCATTGCGCTTAACCCGCAACCCCGGCCAACCAATATTTTTTACCTAAGTTTTAACTGGAGTATTTCTTGTTACAGTGATCGCCATATTCTTCCTGATAATAGTGCAGAAGTATACAAAAGCCTTGAGGCTAGAGACGGCAGCTACCCAGAATATTGAGAAACCACCATCGTACATCGAATGCCTGATCAATGGTCATGTCCGTCCACCAAGCTACGAAGTCAAAGAAGAAGTAGTCATCGTAGATGAGGAAAGAAAACAGAACATTGAAAACGCAGAAAAGTCCTGATTGGTCCAAATTTAAATTATTTAACGGTGTAATTCTAATAAACGCTTGCTATTGGCTACTATAAACTAAGTTAAAGTAGGTAAATGAGGAAGTATTAAAGTCATTGGCATTCTTATATTTTTGGGGACCTAAAAATGTTTAATTTTATAACAATTTATTGATAAGTCCTTAAACTTGATCTTTTCTCTGTCGTCGAGTATTTTTTTATGAATAGTTTAAGTGAAAATATTTTGTCAGCTTTCATTTTTTTTTCCTATTGTATTTATTTTAAGTTAGCCCAAAGAGGATGTCTTAAAAATTCATCTTCAAAATTAGCAATGTTTTTAACTCTTGCTATTGCTCTAATTTCAAGACTTATTATTGTATTGGTAGTAATATTATTTTTCCATCATATTACACATAAACAGTACGCTTAAAGTAGAAACTGTTAGTAGTTAGATTCTGCGAAATAATTCCAAATTATATTGTCACCCAATCTGACTCTCTAATATTTTAATCAAATCCGGAATAAATTGGTTTTAACTAGAATAAACTGGTTTGAGCCAGTTCTAACCGGGTTGATCTTAAACGTTCTGGTTATTTTGAAATCTCGTTTAGTTTGTATTATTATTATTCTAAGAAATATATTCCTATCCTTATGTTAAGTTTATTTAAGTATTCTCTTATGGTAGAACTATAGAGGTCTTATATTTATACTTATTGTGATCTGCACAGATCTCCGTGATATTCGGTTATTTTACTAGTGAAATGGAAATCGAATAAAAAATTGTATTTAATAACGAATTATTATTTAATAAATGTATACGATTTACTTCGCGTGTTTAGTATTTTCTTCGACCATCTAATTTTGTCTTGAGGTATGTCAACACCAAAAAACCGGTGGTGGTGGTGGTGGTGGTGGTATTAATTGCCAAATTCGTGAGCATTTTCCTGTAATGTCCTATTAATATTATAAATGTGAAATATAGTGAGAGCTTGAAGATTGTTTCTCACTCTTTCACACACAAACGGCTGAACCAACTTGGTTCCAAATTCAAATGTGATAACCTGGATTAACACAGGCTGGTTTTATCTTCATACCGCGCAGGCGAAGCCACGGGCGGAAGTTAGATCACCATAATCGCTTTATTTGTTCGATTATGGAAAAATCGATTAGTTACAGTTCATTCATGATAACAATGGAATGTAACCTACATGCTACGCCGCGTATTGAGTTATGGCAATTACTTCTCTTGAAATCGATAAAGTACAATAGCAAATTGAAATGCTATTGAGTCTTGAAGTATTGATAACTGAAGGTATTATTTTATTTTTTATTGAACATATTACTTGTATATTTGCTTTGATGTAATTTTAAGTACGTAATTGGTCTTTCTAAAATGATACGACCTACTCGAGACGCGCGTACTGCTTTTAAAGAGGTCGGCAACGCGCCCATGAGTCCTCTGGTGTTGCGGGTGTCCTTTGATGGCGCTGATTTGAAATACTACGTTGAGGTTGTTACGTCGGTTTACTGTAAAGCAGTGGTATCACTCCGGTCGAGCCGACCTACTCGTTTCGGCACGAATGAACATGGCTCTCCCACACATAAAATGATAAATATCCAATCAATAATCTCTATATGATATGTAAATATGTATGTAAAGGCGACTCTGCGCCTTAATGAGAATTATCCATTGCACGTGATAGACTAAGCGAAGTTGTTGATTTAATCAATAAACGTGAACACTTAATCACAATCAATTTATAATAAGTCTTCTACAATTAAAATGACTATACAAATGTTTTTCACGCAGTTTAACTTGGATTAAGAAGTATGACTAGACGATCCGTCGCTAACGTCCGCTCGGGGCCGTTGCTCCTTCCAAACGGGCAGAAACAACCTGGCCTCCTCACGAACTGACGTTCCGTCAGAGTGACATCTATTTCTTTTTTACTCTTGCCCATAGAGGTTTTATCCTTCATCAAAGATCTAAGGCTTTACAGGTGCGCCATCATGTATTTGTACAGGATTCATTAAATATCTAATTAGCTATATAGCTAAAAAATCAAAGGCATGATAATAATTCCACGTCACATAATCACGATCACAAAACTCAACCATACTTTCGCCCGATTAGTATCCAACGAATTTATGCTCGCCAGTAAAACTAAACTTAATTATAACTAACTTAAAATCCAAATTCACTAACGAACATTAAGCCTGAATCATGGCCAAGTATTTTGCCAAAGTGGAAATCTGCTTTAATTCTATTTACAAAACATTATTACCTGTTGGGTACAGTCCAAGACTACTGCGAGTTCAGCTAAATCTCTGATTTAAATGAGATGCGCTTATGGCACTGGGGATGCTGCGTTTTATATTTCCCTGAGTTATTGTTATGACCCTAAAGTGGGGGCTTGGGGACTTAAATTAAGGAGTGGGAGGTTGTAAACTATTTGTCAACTGTTTTGACAGCATCTTTGCACCTTTCTATTAAATTTAAAGTTTTATGATATGGATAGATAACCCTATAGCCCTTAGAACAAGAAAGATTTGAGAACCTATAATGATAAGTTTTAGAGCTGTTGTGTTGTCATTGTCATGCCTCTTTGCTCTTTAAGAAAAGATCTGTGTAAGAATGTCCCTTGGCTGGATCTAAAGAACAAGTTTGGTAGTATGCTTTATGAGGTTTTGATAGTGGGTAGATCGCGAGATGATGGCGTCCGTCGCATCACAATCGGGTCACAACAACACATCGGCGCTTGCCGCTTGCACACTGTGATTTACTTGGGAACATTTTCTATGCAAGTTTATTACTAGCGAATGTAATTTGTGTTTTGATCTGTGTAATATTTTCAAAGATATATTTGTACGTCGGAGATATCTGAATTTGTTGCTTGTCCGTTGCGGAATTCCGAGTTTGAGTAAGAGACGCCACCGAGTGTATAACACTGTATAACCATGTAATAACTGCAGTGACTGGCTCCATGTAGCCAGTCACTGCATGGAACTCTTTGTGTGATCTACAAATTGTTGTTCCGGTTCTGGGTGTGATGTAAATAATATTGTATGTTTGTAAACGCACCTAAGAGACAGGAGAAAGTCCTAGAGTGGGGCAACGTTTCCTTTACCAACAAAATATATATATATATCGACTCCAAAATTCCATATTCACCCGCTAAGACATTCAGAACTGAAGTATCCTCGAAATATTTTAATAACTCCCAAAAAAGGGGAAAAAACTAAAGTCATAAATCTTGAAAATACCGCGAACGGAGGCCACAAAATTATACCATACCGTAATATCTACCTGGATTCTATCCAACGGGAATTCCAAAGGATTTCGCGGCAAGCTCCCAGCATTCCTTAATACGCTCGTATTAATTTCTATTCTACTGTTTCTGAAAGGTACACTAAGCGAAATGTCTGGGTACTGTTTCAAGCTGAAATTATAAAGAGGTGTACACCGTGTACTTGCTTCTTAGATATTTCGTGGGATGTTTTCAAAGTGGATTGTTCAATTAATTTCAAAGGGTTCGTTTGGTGTGCATTGATGTTGTAATTATAGCTTTAGTTATACCGCTGCGTAGTATTTGGGAAAATAGCGTGGATTAAGGAGATTGAGATTTGTGTTGTTTGTATTGTAGGGGTTATGTCGAGTATTGTTATTGTTATTGTTCAAAACCTGTTTAAAATTAAGACACTTTCTTCGTAGACCTCTTTTTGAGGGAATGGATAATTTTTTTCTTCTTCTTTCGCTTTGAATGGGGGTCATTAAGAGCCGGTACCAGGCCTCCTAATGACTAAAAATCAACCCCATCTTCCTCCTGCTTCAGGCCGAGAGGCTGCAGTACCTTTTATTGCGCTTGCAACCGTAACCCCACCTGGACGTCTTAGTCCCCTCAACTACAAGAACATAGATCTAAACAAGATGGTGTAATTTTAATGTAACTTATACATATATTATCGTCATTGAAAAGGAAAGACTGCGCCTTATATCGATAAAGCGATTATAATCCAACCTTTTCCAGGTTTGGTAGAAGTCATATCAAACGATAATAATTTTGAAGAGGAATTAATTCCACAAAAATGGTAGCCTTGATTTCAGTCACCAAGGTAATGTGGTCCTTAAGACATAAATAAATAAGCACTATTATACGATGCTAGATGAGACTAGGGCCTAGTTATGAGTGCTTAAAGGAGTTTTTAAAGAAGAATTTTCTTCTTCTAAATGTAAAATGCGCAAACCTATTTGGATATCGTACAAACCAAGTCTAAAAGTATTTCATTGAGAATTTCTTCAAGTCGCCTAGAATCATTTATTACATCTTTAGCCCAGCTCCGTCTGTCGTTATGGGAACAATTTTATAAGCCGAATACTTATTATTCTTTGAATTCCCATCTTATTATTTTCTTCCATTATTTTCTTTCGCCCCTTATTTTTTTTATTAATATTAATCGACAAATGAAGTCGTCAAGTACTTGGATTCTCTTCTATTTTTTATTTGTCCTCGACAAATCCGGATGAACGTTGAGGAAGGATTATTTATTCGTTCAAAGCAATCATGAAACTTAATATGTTACGTACTTATCATGTGTACCATACCTGAATTACATCGCTATTCTCAACGAAAGTTTTTTTGGAAAGTTTTTAGTTGGAAAGTATCGAACAAATTTTAGGTACACCAGATAGAAACACCAGACAATAGTGTCTCCGAAAAATATTAAAATTAAGATTCTAGACTCCAAATTGTTGTTTAGTAAGTACCTATAGATATTAAAAACTAGCTACCCGCCCTATTTGATACTAAATTTCTCCAAAATTTTATGAATGTAACGTATGCATATGCGTAATGTAGGCACAAATGGGCGGGGTCGACCGTAGTGATACCAAGGCCTCACATAAAACTGAAGCAACACTTCCGTTGTGTTTCGCCACGTGAGTGAGGTTACTGGAGGGCCAATTCTTCCCTCCTTCCTTATATTCCTCAATCCTCAATCCCTAATAACACACGTTTGGTACCACCATTGTCCATGGACGACGATGATTGCTTAACGTCAGGTAATTCGACAAAAAAACCTGACCTAGCACTCTTTTGTCCACCTTTATACAGGTCATGTATGTAAACAGTAGCCTAAACATCTAGCTACACGGAACCACTACTAAAATCACGCCACTTGACATTGGACACTGTAAGTGGTCAGTTTGTCGGTGGAAGCCATTAATCAGGGGACAGGTGCCAA